ACCACACACAATGAGAAACCAAAGAGAAAAAACCAAGGAACCAAATTGTAAAAAACCAGATTATTTTATGAAGAGAAAATAAATATGAGAAAAGCCACCTGGCCCTTTTAATAATTCTTGTGTTGTTCTTGTGTGCCATCAAGTTGGAACCGACTCCTACCTGACCCTCCAGCAAGTTTTCTGATGCAGTAAATGGCGCAGGATGAGATTGCCCATCCTTCTCCCACAGAGTGGCTGGTGGATTTGAATCCACTTTTGGAATGGCAACACTGTTTCTTACCACTAGTCCACCAGAGCCCCTTCTTTAATAATTTGGGAAATACCAGTTAGAATAAAAAGGAAATAATTTTCTACTTTAATGGGATAAGCCAGAATGAATAGGTGCCTTGCACAGTGGCATGTGGATAAGGCTGTGGAGCAATGTAGCATTTGTGAGTGGTAGGTACAAATGTAAACTGATAATATTCAGGGAGAAGACAACTTGTTGTAATCTGGTAATTAAGATCTTTCCATTCCCAAGGGTTCCATTTGTAGTAAATCTGTACTTTCCTAGAAAATGCCAGCCAACGATAAAGGTGGCAGTGAGGTAAAGTGGACATTTGCATTCCTAGCAGTTCTCTTACTGTGCGTATGCTCCAGAGGAATGACACGTGGGCATCAGCAGGCATGTTCAAGCTTGTTCCTAGCAGCCTGACAGCAAAACAGCTGGAAAAAAGACCTCAAATTTAAAGAAAGTCTAAATATCAAACAGTAGTCAACAGTAATAAATTAGGTAAGAAAATGTTGGTATATTCACATAATGGAATAGTACGTTGTTGTTGTTGTTAGGTGCTGTTGAATTAGTTCTGACTCAATGTGGCCCTGTGTCCAATACATGGAAGGCCTCCTGGCCCTGAGCCCTGTTTACAATCACTACAAATTCATTTACACGGTGGCAGAAATGAATCAGGTTGCTGCTTACAGTTCAACACAACGTAGAACTGTGGTGGCCTATTGGTAAGGAGCTGTGTTCTATTTCTGAAGGCATGCAGTTCAAATCCATCAGCTATTCTGTGGGAGAAGGATGGGCAATCTCCTTCTGTGTGTTTAAAATGCCTCTGAAAACCTTGTGGAGGGTCAACCATGGGTCAGTTCTGACTCAGTGGTACACCACAACAACAACACCCAACACCACATAGATCACCTGTAGGAATATCACATCAAGTACAGGGGGGTGTACAAATATATACACACACACACAAACATTGTGATTTCTTGTCTGTGAAATTAAAAACCATATAAAACAATAACAATTTGTATATAAAATAAGGAAGAGCTGCAAGGTGTTAATTGGAAACTTTTGGGCAGTGGTCACATGGCATGAAGCACTGGGAATGGCCTCTAGGGAGCCTCAAACCCAATGACAAAGTCCTTTTCTTAAATAAGTTTCACTGAATTAACCTCATAAACATTTTTTTTAAAAAGAAAATATTTTTTAAATGTTTAAAAAATTTAGGAAAAATATTCATTTGTATCCACTCAATATTTAATGAATTTTTTTAAAAAAGGAATCACATTGTGTGCCCAAATAATTTCATTTACAATGATTAGCACAAGATAAGTTCCTATAAGACAGAGGTTAACCATGTTCCAAATGTCCACCCTGCTGGACCACTCCATCATCGCTGACGTTAATTATGCCTCCATCCTCCTGTCCTCACTCTCCCATCTATTTCTTTGGGTTCTGTGGTTCACTGGAAGGTCCCATAGAAACTGGAAAACTCTCAGGGGATTGTGGAGAGTGTGAACTGATGAATATGGTTGCAGAGACTGGTGGAGGAGAGACCAGGAGTCTGCTTGCTGAGGCTGTTAGTTGTTAAATATCAGGCCTAGGTTTGGCTGTTGGTGAAGCTGAATCAGGTTATGTACAAAGCGAACATTCCAGAAGCATGCCTTTATCGAAGAACCAAGGACTTGTAAAAACACGTCTGTGAGAAATAAAGGTGGCACCTTGAGTGATACCTGCTAGTGGGCTATTCCACCCTAATCCTATCTCCTTCATACAATAAATAATTCAAGCATCACTGAAGAGGCTAGAATCATGAAATGGTTGACAGTGGATGAAGAGCCATTTTACAGAGCTCATTGCATCACATGTGTTTGGTTTCATTTGCTGTGGAGAACAGGACCTGTGGACACCTCTGAGTCCTACCTTTTCACAGCTTGCTGCAATGTGAACAGGAAGTAAAGAGTGGGAAAAAGTGAAACAGTAAAATTTTATTTTTTTTTCTGTTTCCAACTTTCTCACTCTTGTACAAACATTTGTTTTCTAATTTCCCCCCTCCCCCATTTTCAACGTCCCTCTCTCTTTTTTCTCTTTTTCTTGTTGTGTACCATTGAATTGAAAACGACTGGCCCAGAAGGAAATTGCCCTTCCTTCTCCAGCAGAGCATCTGGTAGATTTGAACTGCATACCTTTGGTATTGCAGCAGTTTCTTGCCACTAGGCCACCAAAGGTCCCTTTGAAATAGTATAATTTTAAATGGAGTCTTAACAGACATTAATATGAAACATATTTAAAGAAGGTAATCTTCAGTTTTTATTCCTCATTGACTGGTAATTACTTAAAAGTAAAATCTCTGGGAATGTCATCATAAGAGTTTGTATTAACCACTTGCAAATTAAATATGGGTGTTTGACGTCCCAAGGAGTAGGCTTTGATTCTACTTCCTGTCCCTACTCCCAAGTTTCTTTTCCTCCTTTCTGCACTTTATGTTGTGTGTTCACTCTTTCTGATCCCATGGCTTTGCACTCCATTGGTGACCCGTGTCACCTCTGCAACTCAGGCAGACCATGCAGCTCCTTCTCTGTGCACAGAGGTTGGTCCTAACCAATATTTAGTGACTGGTTGTTATTAGGAGCTATTGAGTTGATCTCTTCCCTGCCCAATCCTGCACATTCCTCAGCATTCCTGATATACTTGGGCCCGTTGTTGCAGTCACCTTATCAATTCATCGTAGTGAGGATTTTCCTCTCTTCCTCTGACTCTCTCCCTTCCCCACATAATGTCCTTGTCCAAGAACTGACCCCTCACAATATGCCCATAGTGTGTGAGATGGAGTTTGATCATTCTTACCTCGCAGGAGCACCCTGGCTGCATTTATTCCCAGCAGATTTGTTTATTTTTTTGGTAGTCCGTGGGATATTCAGGACTCCTCTCCAGCACCACCGTTTAAAGTCATGTTACACTGGTTAGAGGCTGTGAAGTTTTTGATCTCTCAGGACCATTTTCTTAAAACCTGAGGATGCCAGGAACCAAGTTGTCCTTATTCTTTGTTGTATTGCTATTACTAAACTTGAATCACTCATTAAACATTTGTTAAATGAATCAAAAGAAGTGAATTTGATCTTTTAAAAATAGAATTATTCTCCAATAGATAAGAGATTGTGTTTTTAAAACATCTTTAACATAGAATTAAGATTTCCTTATGTTTCTATTTTACCCTTCATATATATTTTTTTCTGTAAAAATTCCAGTTTGCCCAAAAGTAGGCTTTCATGATGACCTAGATATTGTCAATGAATTTTTTTAAAGTCTTAATGAAATTTGCATATTTATCTTGCCATTACCTTGGGAAAATACTCTTAGAACATTACACCATTAATACCTTTTGTTGAATTAGTAAGAATTACATTTCAGGACTTTTCCTGGTCCTAATTAACTGTAGCATTTTGATGTATTGAGCGGTATGATATTACAGAGAGGGATAGAAATGGGCGGCAAAAAATACTTTTTCTGGAGTGAGGTATCTCAGTCACAAAGGGACAAATGCTATATGGTGCCACTGTTGTAGAATGAGGCTGGCATTGGGGTGGGGTAAGACTGAGAAAAACTGGATGAAATATGTTTACGGCATTGAA